AAGCAAACTTAGAAAGAAAATGATAGGGTGGAGAGCATAGAGTTTTGGGAAAAGCAGCTCTCTGCCCATGTCCTGGTGATCAGAAAGGCCAACCACTGTGGAGATTAACATTCTGGACAGAAATAAAATGGAAGGAGAACATAAATACCAGCTAGACAATTTTGAACATGCAACCCAGCATTCCACCCTGACGGAAAATAACAGATGAGCCTCCATCCAAACTCCTAAAACCTAAAAGCGATATAGATACAGCTGTTTGGAAACGTTCAGTGAACATACTTGGTAGTAGAGAGAGTTAGGCTGTAAGTGAACAGCCGTGTTTAGCTGATCTAGAAATGGAGGGGACACTACATTTAAATGTCAGTCAGTTCCTATTCTTAGAGCTCAACTACAGGACAGAAGAAGTTGGATGAAAGCATGCTCTTGATGTGGTGAAACAAAACCATGCTTACCCCTTACGTTATTGTCATTATAGTACAATAAACTGTTCATTCTTGCATGTGGCAAATAACAATGCTGACACGCTCACAAAATAATGCAGAGCATATGGCTCACAACTGTTTTTAACTAAAACTTCTCTAAAGATTTATTTAGGTTCTTTAATTATAGGGTGGTTCAGAAGACTGGCATGTGGTTTCAGTTTATAGTTACAAATGTTGGCCTTGGCGATGGGTACATGCTAGTATTGCCAGAGAGAAAGAGGAAGGAGACGAGGAGAGGATGGCTTGTGTTCTTTAGGGTCCTTCCTTATTGTCCCTTTTTTTAACAAGTGGAATCCAGATCTGTGTTTGATATAAGTATGATGAAATTCATACCGTACTTGAGATGAGTTTGCCAGTAGTACCAGGCCAATTTCTCCAGTGCTTAAGTACTCTCCAGAGTCTTGAAAGAATGTTCCTTTAAGTCTCTCTTTTATATTAAGATTATGCCCTCCATTTAATGAATGAAGTCCAGTCACTGGTGACTACAACTACTTCTATTTAGATAGACTAGAAAAAAGAAGTATCAACTTAGATGTTTTGACTTGAATTAAACATCAAGGTCATTTGGTCATCTTCTAAAGTCTTTTGTGTGTGCCAGTGCACACATGTGTATGTAATTGTCATAGATGATTCTGCATGTTAGAAATAATTTCGAATCGTTTTGGGTTGAGTAATAATACCAATATCAAGCTCAGTTGCAGTCCTGGGGGCATGGGAAACAGACTTGTGTTGGACAACCCACAAACAGTTCAGTGTATGTGTATGGTTGGAAAAGTTCATCTGTATTTGGCATATGCACTTCCTGGGTTCCTTGCCAATGATGATAATGGTAGTAGCATCTCTGAACTATTATCTGAAGATGGGAGGAGTAGAAGGGGAGGAAATCTATTAAGAAATCTAAGCAGCAGTACACTCTTTGCTACATGAAGGCTACAGAAGAAAGGAATTTCCTAATGTCTTCCATGTTTCATGGAGCTCACTCATATAATGACTTTGTCAATACTTGCGGGCAAAACACTCGTTCATTCATTTATTCATAATTTGCTACTGATTGCCTCTGTTTAGAGCCCTGTGGATAGCACAAAGATTAATTCCACAGAAAGAGTTTGCTCTGGAGGAGCTTACGTAGAGATTATGAAAATGCGTGCATAACGAATTATAATGAAATAGAAAATATTTCTGATAGTTACATAGGGCTTTTAAATTTTCAAAAAACTTATAAGCTTAAAAATTTAATTCGTCAAGGTAGGCATGTAGCTACAGTCCCCAATTTATAGATGAAGAAACCCAAGTTTAGCCAAAGTAAATGACTTGCTTAAGGCCATATCGTGGTGGGTTGTGTATCTGGGGTACAGGCAGATCTTTCCACTAATCCCTTTATGCAGAGGGGAAGCTTGCCTCCACCTAGGGGATCAGAGAACATGAGACCACTGAGCTGCCTTGGAGGGTAAGCAGGGCTGTGGTGGAGAGAATGAGTGAACAAGAAGACATACCAGACAGAAGGACATCCACACTGTTCATAGCAACACTCCAGAGAGTCAGGAAAGAATACAGTGCTGGATTTTTGTTTCTCTTTTTTCTCTTTCATTGCATTTTATCCATACATTCCTTCAACAAATGCGTTGAGAACTAAGTGTTAAGATCATAGCCATTGAAAACCCTCTAATTCTAATCTGAAACTTTAGAAAGAGTCCCTGGGTGGCACAGACTTTTAAGTGCCGGACTCCTCACTGAAAGGCTGGCAGATTGAATTCACCCAGAGCCACCTCAGAAGAAAGCCCTGGCAGTCTACTTCTGTGAACCCTATGGTGTGCGCTTTTATTCTGAAACACATGGGGTTGCCGTGAGTTGCACTAGTTCTTGTGTTTTGGTGCTACATGTAAGGCATTGGATTCATTGATGTGAGGCTTAAGGCAGTCTACTGTAGGGTGGTCTGGTTGAGGATCTCACAGTTGTCTAAGTAGAATAGAAGATGGGTTCGCAAATAATTGTAAGAGAACGTGATGAGAGGGGGAAGAACACTGTACATATACTACATTTTTGGGATTGTGGGCCGCGCATGCTGCCTCTTCACAAGGAGGCCAACTTTTACTTCGCACAGCTGCTTTGAGGATTAAATGTGATTATAAATTTGAGAACAGATCACTCAGCTTCTGGCACATTGAGGTACTCAGTAAACTGAATGTTTAATGTCTCCACATACCTCTGAAGAAAAGCCAAAGTCTTTGATTCACTGAACAGACTCTCTATGGTCTCTTCAGACAAATCGAAACACTTCCTGTGCCCCAGCCCCTCTCAGTAAGGTAACCCTAACTGTTCTCTCATTATACCCCTGGCTGCCCATGAGCTATATCCAACATACAGAGGTAAGCAAGGGCACTGTCAGTTCTGGCTCCACCGTTTCACATGGCTGTGTGCCCACTTTGTGCCGCAATTTCACATCTCTAAGTGGGGATGGGATCATTGTGGCTCTGTGGGATAAGCACTGGACTGTGAACCACAAGGTCAATGGTTTGAGCACCCTAGCTGAAAGATGATGCTTCTTGCTCCTGCAGAGATTTATAGCTTCAGAAACTCTATGGTTGGCTATGAGTTGGAACCAACTCCACAACACTTAACAAAAAGTGGGATTAACAGCAGTTTCCTCTTTGTAATTTTGCTGTGAGATTTTAATGCTTACGTATAAAGGGCTTGGGGACGTGGTGGTATGTAGTAAATGTTGCTGTGATCAGCTTTGGTTACTATCTGACCCTGCCACTCTCATTACAGACCTTCAGTGTGTAGCCGTTTTCTTCTCCTTGCTCATTCCTCCCTACCTTATGCATTGCCTTCCAGCAGTATGGGACTGTTCTATAGTGTCTGGCCTCTGCCTTAAATGACCTTTGGATTCTCTTTCTAAACTAAGATCCTCTTAGTTACAGTCATTACCACCTTGAGCTCCCTTTCTTGTTCTGCAATGTCTTCCAACTGTTTTTTTGTTTTAAAATCATTTCATTTTGCATGTTAGGTTTCCATTTCTGTTTCGCTCTCCCCTCCTTTTGACTGAGCTCTCGGGCCTAAGTCTTACTCTGCATTCTCAGCACTAACCACAGTTCTTGACCCTGGGTAACCTACTGACATCTTAACAATTCTGACTCACAGGAACTCTACAAGGCAGGATAGAACTGCTCCCTAAGATTTCTGAGGTTATAAAAGAAAGACAGCCTTTCTTCCTTGGATCCGATGGCGAATTTGAATTGCTGACCAATGCACAATCCACTAGACCACTAGTCAACTCTCAATAATAAGTCCTTGATTCTAATGAATTAAAAGAGGAACTCTACCTATTTTAAACACATTATCAAAATTACCTATTTAGTTAGATGATGCTGTTGTTGTTAAGTGTCACTGGGACAGTTCCCACGCATAACGACCCCATATAGGGTTTCCAAGGAGTGGCCGGTGTGTTTGAACTACAAGTCTTGAGGTTAGCAGTCCGTGTTTTATCCTATAGGCCACACCAGGACTCCTTTCATTAGATGTTGATGTTGCGAAGTGCCAGTAAGTCAGTTCTGACTCATTGTGACCCTTTATTGAGCTTCCAAAAAGCTGTTGTGGGTTTTAACCACCAACCTTGTGGTCAGCAGTTCAGTGTTCATCTTATAGCGTCAAACCAGATGGTTGTTGTTGTCAAGTGTCCTCGAGTCAATTCTGACCCATAGCGATCCTGTGTAGGGTTTCCAAGGAGCAGCTGGTGAGCTTGAACCGCTGCCCTTGCAGTTGAAATGGCTTTGCAGTCTGGTGCATTAACCCACAGCGCCACACCAGGACTCCTCCATCAAACCACATAGAGGGGACAGAATTTATTCCTAAGAAATTCTGAGGAGGTAAAGGTCAACATGAAGACTGGCCTATCTTTCCTTTGTCCCTGTAGAGCCCTGTGGGGGAGGGGTGGCGGGAATTTGGCAGCCTGGAGCTGGACTAGAACTATAACCACTGCATTACCATTCTTCTTCTTCTTCTGGGGACCTTGTGGTATCGATCATTGGCTTGTAAAGACAGTTGTTGTATGTTAGCTTTGTTAAAATCATACCAACTGTTTGATATTTCATACTATATTTTCCCCAAAGTTTGAAAAGATTGGTTTCCTCTTTGTTTTGAAATTTTACTTTGGTGTATTGATAGGTACTCTCCTAATAGTCTCAGTATTATCCATATGTTGACTTGTGATGTCATATTTTCTCCTTTGTTCTCTGAATTACCTGGACTTTAATCAAATGAGTCATAAGCATAGCATGTGTATTCAGTAAGATCAACATAAATCATTGTCATTTTGCTTACTAGAGACTGTATGGGGGGAAAGTAGCATAAGGGTGGATTGACTGATTTTTTAAAATTTGAAGAAACTAAACTGTGTTTCTCAGCTTGGTATCTAAAGCATATCAGAGTTGGCCTTTAAAGAACCACAAGGTCTTTACATCTGATAACTATGTAATCATAATCTGAATTCTAAGGACTTTCCCCCTTTATCCCTTGCAGCTTTGCTCTGTCAGATGAAGCATACCGATCCCTAAGAGATCAAGATAAAGACCAGTGTATTCTCATTACTGGGGAAAGTGGAGCAGGAAAAACAGGTAAGGCCACGTTTGGCATCCTTGCTTTCCCCTGTGAAGAATATAATTGATGCACTGGATGACCACAGGAAAGAGGGCAGGGGGCCCTCATTAGCATGGAATGCCTCAGGGCCACAGGGTGGTGCCCCTGGGAGAGCTACTTCTGTGATTTGGAGTGTTGGCTGCCTAGAGAGTGTTCCATCTCTCACATGAAGCATTTAAGATGTCTGTCAAAGGGCTCCAACCTGTATTCCAGGCCTTTCTTGTGCAGTACCTGGGTACTTCCTATTCTTCCATTTCTTCAAGACCCCAAGGCCTTTGTGCACCTACAGAGTTAAGCCACTTCCCTTGTTTCTCTTTCTCTCTTTTTTTTTTTTTTTCGGTTAGAAATGCCAAATCACTCAAGAGTTGTGAGGGCACAACCGTATTTTATTTCTGTTAAAAAGTAGGGAAAGCACCATGAAAATGCTGAACATCATTCTAGAGACACCTTCTGAAGCCTAAAGAGTTGAGATTTTTGTGTATTTTAAACAAGGAGGAGCACTCTTCTCATCAAACCTCAGTTGGTGAGAGGAGAGGCTACACTTTTGACTTGTGTTTTCAATAGCAGTTTGTATGACTGATGGTCCTTAGTGAGAAGGTAGGCACCCAGCTACCTAGAAAAGACTCAAAATAGCTTCCTTCTCCAAGTTCACTTAGAGAGGTGACAGCCACTACTGCCATTGAGTTTTCTTGATGGGGCTTATGCAGAGATGAAAGAGGATGAGAAGGAAGAGATGGTGTTTTTATATGTAAGGTGGTTTTGTTTTACACATCTGCTTTAAAATGGTTTTTCTTTCTGCACTTATTCCTTCTTCCACTTAGTTTTAGGCCGTTTGTCCTCTTGTCTGTCTAATGAAGCTTAAGAAAGAGTGGCTGGACCGCTGTGTTCCACTCCTTGGAAACACAGTGTGCCATTTCTTCACAGAGTTGGGTAGGTAGGTTCTAGTTTCTGGGTGGATGGGAAGGGAAGGAAAAGGACTGGCATGAAGGAATCAGAGGGAACAGATACCATAGACTCGTGTTTTGGAAGGAATTTTAGTTAGAGACAATCTAGAGAATCTCCACAGGACAGCCGGGAGTCCCTGCTTTTCAAACTCTCTCCATTTTTTTGGTAGTAATGGAAGGCTCATCACTCTGAATACTGTCAGCTGAATTATCATACAGATTCAGCTAACAAAAGTTCTGCCTTACCTAGAATTGAGTTCGGCTTTCACCCTGGGGTTCTAACTCTGCCACCTGGAACCCTACCAAGCTGGTCTGCTTTGTCTTCTACAAGACAACAACTCAGTTATTTGAAGATCACCATTACATCTGGTGTGGCTCTGTAGGGTCCACATTGGAATGCTAACTCTAAAGTCAGCAGCTAAAACCCACCAGCCACTCTGAGAAACCCTATACAGGGTCATTACCAGTCAGCACCAACTTAATGGCACATAGCAATTATCCCATCTTCTAAGGGCTAAAATTCCCTTTTCTTCCAACAATTACGTGTGCTGTGTGCTAATGCGCCAGACTGCAAAGCCATTTGAACTGTAAGGTCGGTGGTTCAAGCTCACCAGCTGCTCCTTGGAAACCCTGTACAGGGTCGCCATGGGTCAGAGTCGACTTGACGGCACTTAACAACAACAACAGAGACACCTATTTAGTCATTCTTCAGGAAATAATTCCTGAGTTGCCCAGTAGGTGAAAAGTACTGTATTAGGTACTAGTGATACAATGGTGAGCCCGATGCCACCTCTGCCCTTATAGTGTAGTAGAGGAGATAACAGGGGCTCTTAAGGATATGTGTAAATATACATACATACGTATGCATATATACATACAAGTTATATGCAAAATATGAAATGTAGTACAGGGTGCTTGCTTTACAAGAGCATATATGAGGAGCGTGGAGGCTCGGATCTCGTTCCAAAATCTTTCACTATCGTGGTCGTATGATATGATCCAATGCTAGTGAAATGCTAATTTGTCAATATACTTTATAAACCCACATGCCAAAAACTAAACAGGTATGTGGTTCTTTTCTTGTTGCATAGTGGTTATGGATTGGGCTGCGAACCGCAAAGTCAGCAGTTGGAAACTACCAGCTGTTCCGTGGGAGAAAGATGAGGCTTTCTGCTCCCTTAAAGATTTACAGCCTCAGAAACCCTGTTCAGGGTTTCTGTGAGTTGGAACCGACTCCAAGGCACATCACCACCACCACCACCGTACACCTTTTAATGTACGTGTAGTAACTAGTGTTTTTCTCATCATCAAGCAAGATATTGTCAGTGTTTTGCACATGAACTTCTATGTGTGATCTCCTCAATCTAGTATAGTTTTAAAACTACTTGTTGAATCTTTCAGTCTTCTTTAGTGTTTTACTCCCCTTCATCATGACTAAAGGTGCGTTTTTTAAGGCATTTCGATTGTATCACTTTGTTCCAAAGTGAGTCAGCAGATGGGGGTTGTGGTCACTGATTTGATTGGTTGGGGCCAATTCTTCATCTCGTTTGGAACATAGTAAGAAACAGCACAGCTACTAACTTCTTGTTGCTTAGTGCCGTCAAGTCGGTTCCAACCCATAGCAACCCTGCGTAGGGTTTCTGAAGGAGCAGCTGGTGAGCTTGAATCACCAACACTGTGGGTCAAACCGACCTTGTAATCCAATGCACTGGCCCATAGTACCACACCAGGAGGGTGGGGATTTACTCTTTTCTGGGAACAACAACAACAAAAACACAGCGTTCCTTTGGTAGAAAGTTAGTAGCACAAAGATCATTCTTCTTTGCTTTAGTTTCCTCTTCTTCTCAATAACTGGTCCTATTGGTTTGAATGCCCCATTCACTATATAAAACCTCTTCTTCCTGTCATCTTTCCTGAAGTTATTTGCCTTTGTCATAAGCTGGAGAATGGAGAGCTGATTCTTGGCCTTTTTGCCTTTCCTCTAGCAGGATGACTCAAGGTACAGCACATTCATGAGTTGCTGTTTCAGACAGAAGCTGAAACTGGGGGAAGTTACTATAGACTTCCTATAGTGAGGCATCTTAATCCTTCCTTGGTAAGCACTGGCCTTCCTCCTCCTCCACTCTGTTGCTGACTGATATAATAAAAGATGAATTACCACAAAAACAAAATAAAAGAAGTCAGACAATTCAGACCCTGGTTTTTAAATGTTAGTTTCAGCATACAAAATAGTCTATCAGACTGCTATGAAAATGTCTAAAAGCTTACATGCAAGAGTCCATGGTCTGGTACTGCGTCTCAGACTTCACTGGAGCAGTACTGCCTTACTTTGGCTACTGGACTTCCTAAGTCGTAGACTATGGCTATCAGTCCCCCTCTCTCACCATTCCTGCTCGGCCTCTCATCTCAACAAGAACTTCATCCACCTCTCTAACCTTTCTTCTGAAGTTCATGGTGCCTACTTTATTTTGGTTCTCATATCTTTGTTTTATAGGATTGGTGTAGTGCATCTTCCTAGTCTGCCATCTTCCCAGAAGCTCCTGATATTTCTTTTCAGAAATTTTACTTAGTAGCATATATAAAAGAAACACCCCCCCTGCCCCCGTGTTGTATCAGAAAGCTTATTTTATAAGGAATAACTAATGTAACTTGAGTCTTGGTGTGGCATTGTAGAATAAGTACTTGACTGCTAACTACAAGGTTAGCAGTTAAACCCACCAACTGCTCCTTGGAAACCCTATGCAGTGTTGCTATGAGTCAGAACCAGCTGGATGGCACCTAACAACAACAACAACAACAACATCTAATTTAACTAGGTCATAAACTCCTGTTGGCAGAAGATGAGGCTCTTACGCATATTATAGATCACTTAGGGAGAGGCGTGAACTCTCTGAGTCCACTGGGGTCCTATTTAATTCATTACTGCTATGCTAAGTGAAACATTCATCATACCTCATAAAAGTGTCTTCGTGTTTCTAAGCAGTGAAGCATTTACTACCGTGAGCGAACACAGATAGTTTATGGAGAAACGTTCAAGCAGTGATAGGGGGCAGGGAGGCAGAACATGAGGGACCCATCATAACTACATTTTTCCAAGGACCTCAGAATAAATCTATGAACCTGAGAAGATGGTCTTGACATAAGAAAACATTATAAATTATTTGGTTTCTAATTGTGCAGTTACATCAGTTTCTAGGACCTCTTTAGCTGTCTGCTAGAGTCATGAAGCCTGCCTTGCTCAGTAAGACCTTGGGTTCTGAACCTCAAATGACCTTGTACTACTTTGCATCTGCGATAGTTCTCCGAGGACTCCATCAGTGACAGAGATGCCACTCACTTACTGTAGCCTAAACATTGATGAGTGTTTCACAACACTGAAAATACTCACATTGAAGCAGCAGAGCAAAGCAAAGTCCAAGCCAGAATGTAGTGAGCTTTTGTTTTATTTCTGCCCCCGTTGTGAGGAAGGGCCCTCTGGATCCTCTTGTTCCCAGATGAATTATTAGAGATTGTGTAGCTGATTTCAGAAGCAGGTTATGCACAGTTTTGTTTCACTAAAAATGTTGCCAGCTGAAAGCTGTGCCTCCCCTTAAACGGCCCCTGCTGCTTTTTGGTTTCGTCAGGTTTGTGTGTGTGGACTACAGCTGGATTAGTTTGCAGCATTGCAGGTCAGGTCTGCTGAAAGGACTGCTCCTCCAAGTTCCAGCATGCTTGTTTCCTTGCTTGCAAACAGACTCGTGCCTCCAGGCTTTTTAACTCTTTCAGACTGCTGAGCCACAGATCTGTCTAAGCTCAGCTCCTAGAAATACATGAGTATCTGAACCTAGGAGACAGAGAGAAATAGAGGAAAACAGTATATGTACACTACATCAGTATGTGAGTATAAATGTGTGGTTCTATATATGACATGTAACATGTTATATGGTATGTAACTATGGTATGTGAGTATGCATAGACACCTCTTAACTCTTGGATACATGTATTAGAACCTCTGTGAGGAAGACTCAGAATAAGCGTTGTTTATGTTCACACCA